CGTGACCGCTGCGCTGCGCCGCGCTGCTGGTGCCTGTCTTCTGCCACTGGTTTGTCGCGGCGCACGTGCAACTCACAGTGCAGGCGGGCGCCGAGAGGACCTGCTGTGGCCCCCGCAGGAGGAGACGGAAGACGATGGTGAGGAGGGGGAGGCGAGGGTTTCGTTTCTCCGACGGATAAGGCCCGCAGCTCGAAGCTCTAAGGAGGAGGAGGAGGATAAGGAGGAGGAGGAGGAGGAGGAGGAGGAGGAGGAGGAGGAGGAGGAGGGAGGAGGAGGAGGAGGAGGAGGAGGAGGAGGAGGAGGAGGAGGAGGACGAGGAGGACGAGGAGGAAAAGGAAGAGGAACAGAAGGAAAAGGGGAGGGGCGCTGGTATCTCCTCCCCCGTTCCTCTTCTCTCCTCGCCCATTCGATCGGGCGACGCCAAACAAATACCTGCATACGCCCACCCTGGCCGGCCAAACCCTGGGACCAGGAATCGGTGCACACGCCTTCCTGGCGAGGCCGGGGGGGGGGGGCACATGCACCGATCCTGGGCCCAGGATGGGCCCAGCAGGACTGGTACACGATACACGGCGCCTCCCAGCAGTCCCCCGTCCCTGGTGCCTCGGTCCGTGCGCCCTTTGCGTCTGCCTGCCAGGCTGCGAATCCGTCCGTCCATCCGTCTCTGTCTGCCGATGTACCTGCCTGTCAGCCTGTCAGTGTCTGTGTCTGTGTCTGTGTCCGTGTCCGTGTTTATGTCCGAGTCTGTCTGTCGGTCTGTCGGTCTGTCTGTCGGTCGGTCGGTCCGTCCGTCTGTCTTTCTGTCTGCGCGCTTCTGCTGTGCGTGTGTGTGTGTGTGTGTGTGTGTGGAGGGGCAGAAGAGGATGAGGAGGGGGATGAGGAGGAGGAGGAGGAGGAGGAGGAGGAGGAGGAGGAGGAGGAGGAGGAGGAGGAGGAATAGGAGGAGGATGAGGATGATGAGGAGGAGGAGGAGGACGAGGAGAAGGAGGGGGACGAGAAGGAGAAGAAGGACCAGAGCAAACCCAAGATGCATCAGCGATGCTGCAACGCACCCTCCCGTCCCCAGCCTTCCCTTTCACAGGCAGCAGCGCCTCCCCTGAAAGACCAGCGCAGCCGGGCCTGCCCTTCGGGGGAGGGCCTCGTTTTGAAAAGGAGTTGCCTTGCATCTTCCTGGCGCGTAATCAGTCAGGAGAGAAAAAAACACACACACAGAAACAATTAATCGTCGATTCCCCCAAACATATGGGAAGATATGGGAAGTGGGGGGGAAGACAAAAACCCAGAACATGTGGGAAAATATGGGGAATCCTTTTATTTGTGTGTATTTATTTGTGTGTCTCAGGGCCCCTTCAGTCGGGAACGCGGGAGAAGATGCTCCTACAATTCCGCGAGGTGTCCAGCGATGTCCCCCCTTTCGAAGAAGGACCGCCCCCCATCAGTACAGTCGGGGCCCTGAAGCAGGAACCCTTTTCGTCGGGGAGGGGCTCGGTGCTCCCTGTTTGTTTCAGAGTTTACCTCGGGTTTTCCTGAGGTTTCCCATGGGAACTCGAGGCTGAACTGATGGGAAAAAGGGGCCTCGTTCCTTGTTTAGGGTTCCTTAGGTTAACGCCCCGACTGTACAATTCAGCGATGTGTCCAGCGATATCCCCCTTTCGAACAAGGACCGCCTCCCATTAGTAGCACTGTGGAGCACGCTTGCGTCTGTGGCAGTGGCCTCTTCGAGGAAGTCGTCAGCGACAACTCCTTTTCGGAGCAGGGCCGCGCCGCATCCGTGCAGTGCTAATTCAGCGTGCTTCAGCTCCAGGTCTCTCTGATCAGCGAAGGCCGGTGGGATACTCCCCTTTTTTGAAGCAGGGCAGCCTCACATCCGTTTAAATTAGAAAGCTTGGGGCAGAAAGGAGAGTGCGCGCGGCGCGAGTTCGAGAACGTCGTTTTGGAACCGACCTGTGCCGAATCCTCGCAGCTATTGGGACGACTGTGCGCGGCGGTGGGGCGAGAGTCCCACTTTGAAACTGAACCGCCCTCCACCAGTGAAGCTGCTGCAATCTATTCAAACGAAAGTGCGCGTCGCTGAAGCGAGAACAGCATTTGGAAACGACCCCATTCTATTCCTGACGGTTTCGCACAAGTTTGAAACGAATGCACGCGGCGTTAGGACGAGAGCCACACTTCGAAAACGACCCGTGTTCCATCTTTGTAGTTGTTGCAAACATTGAGGCGAATGTGAGGGGCACTACAGCGATACGCACATTTTGAGAAAAGGAGCCGCCCCCATTTTTGACGTAACTATAGGCAAGCTTTTGAAGCGATTGTGCACGGCAGGGGAGGGCCACATTTTGAGAGCCACCTCCTCCATCCTTCAAACGGATGTGGGCGGCGTTGAGGCGAAACCCACATTCCGGGAGCCCCCCTCTCACAGCCTTGGCGGCTGCATGAAGGCGGGAGCCACATCTTTGAAAACGACCTGTGGTCCATCCCTGGAACCGTCGGCAGTTCCAGCTTCAGGACATACGTGGGGAGGAAGCTTCAGGCGACAGGCCCAGCCCGCCCCACCGACGTGTTTGGGGCTGCGGCAGCGAGGAATTGGTTACGCGGAAAAGATATGCCGGAGTACGACGGTGAGGATGAGGAAGCGGATGTTGAGGTGGATGGGAAGGATGGTGATGACGCTGATGATGCTGATGATGATGCTGCTGATGCTGATGATGCTGATGGTGATGATGATGAGGATGCTGCTGATGATGATGATGGTGGTGATGATGCTGATGAGGATGAGGATGCGGATTAGGCTGAGGATGTTGCTGCTGCAGCTGCTGGTGATGATGATGAGGGGGATGAGGATGAGGACCACTGTAATCAACGATGTTGAAATACACCCTCCCTGCAAGCTCACCCTTCATAGGCCCCTGTTTCCTTTCAGAGAATTGCTCCGTTGGGGGACAACCGTGTGAAACTCCTGAAGCGTGCCAAGACACCATTCTCAGGACTTCAACGCCACGAGTTAATCGCACTGTTGCGCCTTGGCGATCCTGAGTCGTTCCAGAGCACGATCCCTGGGACTTCAGCATTGCGCCATGGCAATCCCGAGTGCCCTGGGCATTTTTGAAGAACGTATGTGCGCGGCGCTAAGGCGAGAACCACATTTTGTAAACGATCCGCCCTCAACCCGTGCAGCCCTCGCAATTGTTTGAAACGACTGTGCGTGGCGCTGAGGCGAGGGCCACATTTGGAAAACCACCCGCCCTCAATCTGTGAAGCTCTCGCAAGTTCTTAGAACACGTGTGCGTGGCGCTAGGACGAGAGCCACATTTGGAACACCACCTGTCCTCTACCCGTGACTTCCTTGCAATTTTCAGAACGAATGCACGCGGCGCTAATGCCATAGTCACATGGTGACCACCACCCGCCATGCATTTGAAAAACTGCTGCCAGCTCTCACGCGCCAGATTCATACATGGCAAGGGGGTCTCAGGCGAGGCGCCTGGCCCGCCCTTCCGATGGCCTCGGGGTGCGACAGGGAAGGCTTATGTAGAAGGAGAAGGAATGGAGGATGAGGAGAGGGATGCTGCTGCTGCTGATGATGCTGATGATGATGGTGTTCATGCTGCTGAAGATGCTGATGCTGATGCTGATGATGATGATGATGATGATGATGCTGATAACGATGATGCTGCTGAGGCTGATGATGCGGTTGATGATGCTGCTGATGATGATGTTGCAGATGATGATGATGCCGATGATGATGATGATGATGATGATGATGATGATGATGATGCTGATGATGATGATGACGATGATGATGATGATGATGATGATGATGATGATGATGCCGAGGATGATGATGATGCTGATGCTGATGATGATGCTGATGCTGATGTCGATACTGCTGCTGATGATTCATATGCTGACGTTGCTGATGCTGATGCTGATGCTGCTGACGCTGCTGCTGCTGATGCTGATGAAGCTGATGATGATGCTGCTGATGATTACGATGCCGATGCTGATGTGCTGATGTTGTTGATGATGATGCTGATGATGATGCTGATGATGATGAGTATGATGCTGCTGGTGAGGATTATGCTGATGACGATGCTGATGATGATGATGATGACGATGCTGCTGCTGATGATGAGGAGAATGGTGATGCTGCTGATGCTGCCGCTGATGATGATGATGATGATGATGATGATGATGACGATGACGATGACGATGATGATGCTGCTGATGATGATGATGATGACGATAATGATGATGCTGTTGATGATGAGGCTGATGCTGACGACGCTGATGCTTATGACGTTTATGCTGCTGATGATGTTTATGATGCTGCTTATGACGATGATGATGATGACGATGCTGCTGCTGCTGACGATGAGGACAATGGTGATGCTGCTGATGCTGCCGCTGATGATGACGATGATGATGACGATGACGATGCTGATGATGCTGCTGCTGCTGCTGATGATGATGATGATGATGACGATACTGATGATGCTGTTGATGATGAGACTGATGATGACGATGCTGATGCTTATGCGGATTATTATTTTTATGATGATGATGATGAGGATGATGATGCGGATGATGATGCTGATTCTGATGATGATGATGATGCTGATGCTGATGACGATGATGATGATGCTGATGATGTCGATTACGATGATGCTGATGCTGATGATGATGCTGATGATGTGGTGATGATGATGATGAGGAAGAGGAGGAGTAGGCGGCGGGTTATGACCATGATGATGAGGAGGATGAACGATACTCATAGCAACACCAATAATGATACGACTCGCGCATTGAGTAGTAGTAATTATGTTGTTGATATGATTAGCAATAAGGATACGAATATAATATCATTCGTATTGTCAATGATACTACTACTAATCATACGCACACTGTTACTAACAATATGAGTAATACTACTAACAGTACGTTTACTAATGCTAGTACTAATCGTAATACTACCAAAACTAATACTAGCAATACTAATACAACGAACAAAAAGAAACATATGACGAATCAGAGAAGAAGGAGGAGGAGGCGGAGGAGGATGAGGATGAGGAGGATGAGGATGATGACGAGGAGGAAGAGGAGGAGGAGGAGGAGGAGGAGGAGGAGGAGGAGGAGGGAGGAGGAGGAGGAGGAGAAGAGGAGGAGGAGAGGAGGAGGAGGAGGAAAGGAGGAGGAGGAGAAGAGAGGAGAGAGGAGGCGGAGGGAGGGGGATGGAGGAGGAGTACGGCGGCGATGGACCGAGGCGCCCCCCCTCCCCGCGCGAGGGCCAGAAGCAGGTGGCCGCGGGAGAGGAAAAGAGGCGGCCCGTGCTCCCGCCGCGCGCGGGCTGGGGCCACTGGGGCCGCCAGGTCGGCCGCCATGATGCATGCCAGGTGGCCGCCAGGATGAGGGGGGGGGGGGCGATGCGGGGGAGAGCGGGGGGCGGAGGAGGAGGAAGACGAGGATGAGAAGGAGGAGGAGGAGGAGGAGGGAGGAGGAGGAGGAGGAGGAGGAGGAGGAGGAGGAGAGGAGGAGGAGGAAGAGGAGGAGGAGAGGAGGAGCAGGAGGAGAGGAGGAGGAGGATGGAGGAAGAGGATGAGATTGATGAGGAGGATGAGGAGGAGGAGGAAGAGGAGGAGGAGGAGGAGGAGGAGCAGGAGAAGGAGGAGGAGGAGGAGAAGGAGGAGGAGGATTGGGAGGATTGGGAGGATTGGGAGGAGGAGGAGGAGGAGGAGGAGGAGGGCGAGGAGGAGGAGGAGGAGGAGGAGGGAGTGAGGGAGGATTGAGAGACACATGGGGGGGAGACGAATGAGACCGTAGGGAGGACGAGGGATTTTGGAGGAGGGGGGGGTTACCTGCAACCCAGGGCGGAGAGAGGGAGGAGGGAGGAGAGAGGAGAGAGGAAAGAGGAGGTAGGATAAGGTTCACTCCTTCCACTGCACGTGCAGGTTGGGTCGGGAGTTTCCCCAGGTTGCTCAGTGACGGTTTCCGAAGAGAAGGTTTACAGTGGCTACAGCCTGACCCGAAATCCATTCAAAGCGGGTACCTGGACCCCTCCCGATGTCCAAACGCACAAGTTTTCCGAGTAGCGTCTAGCCCTGGAGAAAGCTTCACACCTCGGAGTTTTGCGCAGATTTATTTTTGTTCGTTTTGGATACTGTCTGCGCAGAACCAATGTTTTACAGCGCCACTCGCCGCAGAGCCAGGGGCGGGAGCAGGGGACCCAGGGGCCCCAGGAGGTCTCAGGAGGCGCCAGGACGCCTCAGCAAGCCCTGGGAGGTCTCAGGAGGCCCCAGGAGGCCCCGGAGGAGCACTTAGGAAGTTACTGGATGCCCCAGGAAGCTCCAGAAAGCCACAGGAGGCCCCAGGAGGCCTTATGAGGTCCCAGAAGGCCCCAGGAGGCCCCAGGAGTCCCCAGTATCCCAGGAGGTTCCAGGAGGCCCGAGGAGGCCCCAGGAGTTCGAAATTCCAGAAGCCAGAGGTTTCAGAAGTTTGAGTTTCTTCCAGCAGTTACCAAATTGTTACATATATATATATATAGATAAATACACATATTGAGATATATGAGAATCTTTGGATTCTGGAATGATTAAGAAGAGTTTGAAGTTCTGCGTCTCTGAAGCTCGACATATGTTGAAACCTTTGAACATGCCAGGGCCATGGATTTCCAGATGTCTAGGATCCCCCTGACATGGTTGGAACCATTGGTTTCATACATCTCGTCATCTTGAGTGTTAGGTGTCATGTTTTTTTGTTTTTGTGTTATCGTGCTGCTTTTTTGTGTTTAAGGCTTTTCTGTCACGAAGCAACTGAGCCAAAGTTTTTTGAACTTGCGAAAATACTAGGACCCAGGATTTCCAGATTCTCAGGCGTCCCAGACTTGTGGTGGGAATTATGGGTTTCATAAGTTTCAGAAATTTGTATACAGGCTTAGAGTCCCCACAACACTTTAGATCAATAGAGCTATTGTTTACACGTGTACAGCTTTTGGAAATCCCTAGGCCCTACATTCCCGGATCTCCAGCATCCCCCGAAATCCTGAGGCCTCCTGGGACTTCCTTCTGGCACCTCCTGGGGCCTTCTGGGATCTCCTGGGGCCTTCTAGGGCCTCTTGAGGCCTCCTGGGGCCTCCTGTGAACTCCTGCTGCCCCCCGCGATTCCAGTGAACCCCCAGTTCCAGGGATGAGGAGGGTGATTCAAGGAGGAGGAGGAGGAGGAGGAGGAGGAGGAGGAGGAGGAGGAGGAGGAGGAGGAGGAGGAGGGCAAGCGGTGAGGACAAACCAGGTGCGCTCGCGCTATATCCGACATCCTATCTTTCGTGCCCATCCTTTCCCATTGCGCTGATTTTGCTATATCTGCGGACGCGTGTCATAGCCGACCTGTACATCTACAGAAGACCACATCGTATTATGCGCAGTCGGAAGAGGGAAACTTGTGGGACCTGTGCGATGTGGGGAACCTCTGTGGCCTGTGGGGCCTGCGAGACCTGCGACACTTGTAGGACCTGTGGGACCTGTGGGAACTGTGGGACTTTTGAGACCTGCGAGACCTGCTGGACCCGTTGCACAGGCAGGACCTGCGGGATTTGTGGGACCTGCGGGACCTGTCGGACTTATGGGGCATGCGAGACTTGCGACACTTGTGGGACTTAATGGGATCTGTGGAACAGGTCAGACTTGTGGGACCTGTGGGGCCTGTGGTGCCCTGCGAGACCTGCGAGATTTGTGGGATCCAGAAAGAAAAGTGGCCCACTCTGGGGCGTCAGCGCCATTGGACAACGGGAGCACAGAACCGATCCGAAAATGACGGCCACGCTGCAGCGAAACCAAAGTTCATGAAGAGCTGTAATCAATCGGGTGGTAAAACAGGCTACGGGACAAAAACATTTCGCGCAAATCCTTTGCGTAAACGCAAGATGCGGAGGGATCAAAGTGATATGACACAAAAAGCAAGCTCGGATGCGCAACACATATGATTATTAGGACTACCATCAATATTATCATCATCAGTATTACCATTATGACTATCTTATTATCATTATTATAATTAGTATTACTATTATCATTGTTGTTGTTGTAAGTATGTTCATCATTATAATGTTTCTTATTGTTATCATTATTATTATCATCATTATTATTACTATTATTATTACTATTATTATTATTATTATTATTAGTATTGTTGGTATTTTTATTACTCGTATGATTATGATTATGATTATGATTATGCTTATTGTTATGATTATCATTAGTATTATTGTTATCTGTATTATAAATATTATTATTATTACTATTATTAATAATACGATTTTTTAATTATTATTGCTATTATTATTAATTTACTTTTTATTGGTATTAGTACTTTTTATGATTATTCTTATTGGTGTTATTGTACATATATATATGTGTATACATTAATACAGTGCGCGGAGGGGAGGCGGACTCTCTCAGTACACATTCGGGGAAGAGGGGAGAGTAGTATTCATATTGTACATCTGTGGAGGAGGAGGAGAGGTGAGAGACGAGAGAGGACGGAGGAGGGTATGAGGTTGGACGCAGGTATCCAGAGCCCCCCCAAGATGATGTCTCGTCGTGGTCGTGTGTGCCCCTCCCTCCCTCCCTCCCTTCCCTCGCCGGCGCCAGCCGCTTCCTGGTCCCCGCTCACGCCCGCGCCCCCTCCCCCCCGGGCGCGGCGGGCGGCCCCCGCCCCCCCGCGGGGACGATGGCGGCCTTCCAGCCCCTCCGGACGACGGAGCCGCAGGACCTCGGGCCCGCCGGGTCCCCGCCTCGCCTCCAAGGCCAGTCGCTACAGTGCCGTTTTTAATACATGCTCCGCGTGCGGATCATGTATAAAACATGCAGGGATTTAGTCTTAAAAACAGCGAGGAGTTCATGCATTGGTTTGTTAGTATTTTTCTTTTTCTTTATAACTATATATATATATATAAAACAAAAACAAATATATTTTAAACATCCTATGTATTAAAAACTGCCCTGTACCCTCCCCGGTTCGTTCGCACCGTGGCTCGGGCCATCTCCGAACAGTGGTCCGGCGGGAGCCTCTGGGGGCAAGGCCCGCCTGGGCCGAGTTGGGGGGAGGGGGCCTACCCCGAAGAGGAGGACGCGGGGGGCGAGCAGGAAGTCTCGGGCGAGAGCCGTCGCAGGCGACTTCTCGTTCCCAAGTCCCCAACTCTTCCACGAAGAATCGAGCCGCCAAGAAAATGAGGGGAACTCGGGGATACACCCCCAGGAGGCTGTGCGGGCGCACCCCTACCGACGATGACGCCCCCTTACCGTATATCCTCGAGTTGGGCTCCCAAGTTTTGCCCATTCGAAAGCCCCACGAAATCGGGTATAGGGGTTGACATAGCTACTCTCATCCCAGCGGCGACGACGACGGTGGTCGTCTCGGAGTTTCGCTTGGGCGGCGTTCCTGGAAGGTCTCGTCGCCGGGGTCGGACGCAGCTCGACGAAGTGGCCAGCGTGGACCCGAGGAGCAGAGTCTGTAGGTCGCTCTCGGGCGAAGTTCTGGTCGGACGACGACAGCGACGGCACCGGCGACGGCGACGGTGGCGGCGGCCGTCGCCCCCTGGCGTGGCATCCTGTGCCTGCCGAGCCCGACTCCTCCTCCTCCTCCTCCTCCTCCTCCTCCTCCTCCGCGGCAAGCAAGCGCGGCGGGCGCTCCTTGGGAGCCAGGGGGGCCGCCGTCGGGCCGGGCGGCCACCACAGGTGGTCTGAGGGGAAAGATCCGCTCCGCGGATGCAGTCGAGAGCTTTTGGAACCCGTCGTAAGTCAGGAGGGAAGAAAACACACAGACACAATTGATCGTCGATTCCCAGGAAAATATGGGAAAATATGGGAAGTGGGGGGGAAGACAAAAACACAGAACATATAGGAAAATATGGGGAATCTTTTTATTTGTGTGTATTTATTTGCGTGTCCTGGGGCCCCTTTAGCTTCTGGGACCCGTCGTAAGCAAATCACGACGTCGACGGTTCGGGGAGGGCCCGTTCGCCCCTGCCAGCTCCCAAGCTTCTTCTTCTCAGGACCGCGTAGCAGGCCCAGCCAGAGGCACAGTCCTCAGATCCACGGCCTTCGCTTCGAAGGCCAGGGTATTCGAGGGCCAGGGTTGTATTCGTGTTGACCGCATCCAGGGTTCGAAGTGGGTTCCAGGTTTCTCGGCGCCCTCGCGCGACCACCTCCCCTGTCTCGCTCGCCTTGTCTGGTCATCGATCTATCTAGTGTTTTTATGTGTCCTCTCTCTATGTTCCCCTGCGCATTGTCGGAGTGAGGGTTCTCTCTTTTCTCTCTCTCTCTCTCTTTCTG